CCATCAACAATTTTGTCTGTATATAGATAAAAGCGGTATCATTTGTGTTCACAATGAATTTTTTGCACTAATAACCGATAAATAAAATATGTAAATTCTACTTCATCAAAATCGCTAATTCAAGGATGTAGTACGGCCCGTGCGGAACCAGACGACATGTTATTACCAGTACCACTCACCAGTGCTATCAGTTAAAGCATGCTTCATAATACAAATAGTGAACAAGGCTTAAAAACAGAGGCAACAAGCGCGCAGACAGAAAAACGATATGCGCGTAATTCAAAGAAATTTGCTATAGGGATAAAAACTGGCTTCAAATATTTCCAGAATATGGGTCTAGGCAGTAACTGCAATGGCATAAAAATGTCGAAGTCAAAAGTCAAACCCCTCCCCCCACACTTCATCTCTTCATAAGAAACTGAGGCATGTGGAATTAGAGATGAACAGATGAACTGAGCTGAGATGAACAATAAAGATGAACTGCCACCAGCAACCAATGGTGCTCACGGGAAGAATGAAATTTCTGAATTCCACTCCAATACACACCGTTTCATACTCCTAACAACAAATTCTTAAATGAAATCTGAAGTAACAGAAACAAAATGGTAATAATTAAAAAAAAAGACGGTAACTGAATTAATCCCTTCGCCGCTTCGCTGGAGCATTACTGTTATTTTCTTTTCCGATACCGCGTATTTCCATCGGCTCATCGATAACCCATTGATCCTTATTCTCGGTTCGAACCACTGTCGAAGTACCATCAACGAAACGCGTTTTGAATAGAACATTTGCGTGATTAAACATACCATCTTTCAGCGATACTATTATAAACTAAAAAAATTCAGTTCATTCTAGCAAGCAGGTATCATCCATGTCATGATGCAACTCCTTCGAAAGTGGCAAGTTCCCGCTTTTTAGAAGCGACATCATTGTATATACTCTCACATTTAGAAGTATAATGGCAAAAAAGCACACTAAGAAGAATATGCAGTTCAGATCATTTGGAACGAAGAGTACTAATTAAAGCAAACGGGATTTGAGAATATCATATGCTAGCTTCAGGAAAAATCAAAAACACTGATATGCATTGCTGCAGACTTCTTTGAATTGGGAAATCGAAGGATCTCAAGCAGGTATGCCGTTGCGGAATACTCACGAAAAGCCGGCAAGGAACCAGCCGCAAAAAAAGTTGTATGGTGCCTATGAGAACCCAAGAAACAAAAGGTGTACTCTGCCACGAAAGACTGATAACAGTAAATGTGCTGTCAGGCCGACGCTGCACAATGATCTTTGTTGCGCGCAAGGGTCAGTGGTGTAGTGGGTAGGACATCGCGTACGAATGTGAAGGGAATTGGTTCAACTCCCTCTTGGTCCATATTCATTTTTGAAAGGGAGCTCCATCCATGAAATACGTGGAGCAAAATAAGAGTCATACGGGATTTTCCAAAAAAAGACAAGGAGATAAATGCCAGGATCATTATCTTGAACGATGTGGTAAAACTTTGTTTTAGCAAGCAAAGAATGCTTGCCAGTTAAACACGTGATCTGAAGACGAAATGCTAGGAACAAATATGCAAATAAAAACCTGTGATTCTTTGAAATGCGTTTTGATCATAGCACCAATGTTTTGCGTATGGGAAAGGTCAAGTGCAGCGTCTACTTCATCCAAGATATATATTGGAGCTGGCTTAAATTTCAGCATTGCAAGTACTAAAGAGAGTGCTACCAACGAGCGCTGACCTAAAACAGAAGCACGTTACAACAAGGATAGTATGAATGCACTACTTGATGTATAATTATTCGAAAACTGAGTAAAAATATAACTCTGACTTTCAGCTACTGACAGATTTGAACTGTAAAGCCTCAGTAAATAAGCAAAAAGCTAACAAAATTCCAGTGCAGTACAATTCTCCCGAAAAGCCCTCTGAAATCCTGAAAATTCATTTAGGATGTTCAAGATATGCTCTATTTAAATAAACTTTATGTAAAACAAATTTAGAATATTCCCGTTAATTGCTCCAATTTTTTCCAACAAAGTCATGAAATCTGCAAATTACACCAAAAACTAATCGAACACTGCTGGAATCACTTATAATCAGCTCAAATGCCACGATTATAGTTCAGATAGTGGATAAAATACCAACCACCAGACAGTTCGCCAAGTGAATCCTTCCACTTGTCTCTGAAGGCAACTTTGACTTCTAGGCCACCCAGTGCTGATTTGGCACCTGCCGGAGGCTCCAGTTTCGCACTTGCGCCAGGTAATAGTGTAGAGAAAATATTTCCAAAATCCTGAAACAGTGCAAGTTTCGTCATAAAACGCTGGAAACAGAAAAGAGAAGCAGAATTAAACTTTTCGAAATGTATAGCAAAAAGATTTTTTTTAAACAAATGTTTGAGTTCTTACCCGATTCACCTTTTCGTGAGCTTTAATAATTTCATTTTCTTTTTTAATATCCAATTTTTCAATTGCATCCAACAATTTTGCTTTATCATTTGTTAGCTGTTCCATTTTTGCTTCCAACTGACG